AAGTTAGTATGACAGGAAGGCTTACTGACTACTGGAGAGACCAAACTGGCTTACAAGAAAGACCAAATGACAAACAGAATGGCAGGGAAAGATACATGCATGCATGCATGGATGGATGGATGGATGGATGGATGGATGGATGGATGGATGGATGGATGGATGGATGGATGGATGGATGGATGGATAGACAGACAGACAGACAGACAGACAGACAGACAGACAGACAGACAGACAGACAGATAGATAGATAGATAGATAGATAACCTTTATTGTCATTTTTACTGTGGGCACAATGGCACACATTATTAGTTGCTTGCTTCAAAGTGTATACATACACAACACACATTTAAACATACTATATACAACATGTGTATAGACCACAAAAGAAAAAACTGGGAGCTGCAACAGGAGGCTGGATTGAAGAGTGGAGCCTAAGGCAAGACATGCACCGACCCTGCCCCCATCCAGCTCTTGTATGGATGGCTCTGCCCTCCTGGCTTCTCCTCCTCTCGGAAAAGACTGCTCTCCCCCTGCCCCGCACTCTCCCTCTCTGGGACTTTCTTCTTTCCTCCTTTTGGCATGAAGGTTCCAAGGGAGTGGAGGAGGAGGCCAACAGGGAAAAGGAGCTGCTGCGGCAAATCTTCCAAGGCGGCAGCAGACGGCCGCTTGGGCTCGCCTATCTCTGCCTGCTGTGGGAGGCTGGAGTTGAGGCTTCTGGCTCGCTCTGGGAAGGGTGCTCGAAAAAAAGAGGATGAGAAGCGGAAAGTGGAAGGAAGGACATCTTCCAGCTCTCTGGGGTTCTTTCGCTGGGAGGGCGAGGAAGCAGAGGGGAAAGACAGCTCTGGAGAGAGCTAATGCAGCATGCATCTCTTTGCAAACGAATGCGAAAGGTTTTGGGGTTTTGCTCGCCCGCCCAGGTGGAGACCCTGCGCCACCCCTTCTGCGGCCGGGGAAAGAGGGCTGGCTCTGAGCCTGTCCTGGACCCCCCACCCCTCCCCCAACAGCCCAGGCACTGTGGCTGTGCAGCAGGAGGGAACTCTCCAGACCTTTGGTTGTCCTGGCTTGCCGGCGAGGCTTGCAAACTCGGCTCCCGCTGGGGAAGCAGCACCTTTTGGGACAGGGGCTCTGAGCAATTGCACGCTTCGGGGAAGGAGCATGGAGGCCTGCAAGCAGGCAGGCAGGCAAGCAGGCGCTGGGCAGCACAAACTGAGCGGCGGCAGGAGGGAGGCGGGGCCTTGGCTTGTTGCTTATCAAGACCGTGCTCAGTTAGTGCTGCCCAGCGTCTCTTGTTCCATCACCGCTCAGGCTTCTTTTTCATCGTTGGAAGCATGCCTCATTAGCTGGCACCAGAGGGGGTGGCCCCACGGCAACACCGACAGTCCGGGCCACGCGCCACCAGCGTCTCAGGTCCCGAGCCGTGAGCCGCAGGAAATATCCAGGCCCGAGTTGTCCGCTGTAAGGACACCCTGCCCACAGCAGCACCGCCAAACCACCTTCTATGCTGCTGGTGTCCCCAGGCTGGAGCAATGAAAGCCAGTCCGGCTGGTTGTCGGGGTGCAGAACTGGCCCGCGGATGGCAGGCCTTGCTCACTGGCAATGCTGGAGCCTCCCATGCCGACCAGTAGGTCTTCCGTGTCACTCCACTTGGACTGCCGGCTTCTACCTGCGGGGCTGCCTCCCTCCAGAGCTGTCTTCCCCCCCTCCCATCTATGTCGAGCCCATGGGACTTGACAGGCAGATGGCATCCCACAAACCAAAGAAGTTCAACCAATCAATTCAAACTTTGCGAGTTTTTTTTCATGAGAAGTTTGAATTGATTGGTTCAACTTTTTTAGTCCCACTTTTTTTGGGGGGGACTGCACATGGCTGGGAGCTGCAGGAGATGGCTGAAAGAGCCACATGCAGCTCTGGATCCATGGGTTGCCGACCCATGGTATAGACCTACAACCTTACATATATGTAACATAGAAGTATTAATCACTGTCCATCTAGAATACATAGTGGAAGGAGGAAACTTTAGAGTTCACAAGGTTAATACAAAACTGTGACTGAATCTGGATGTTCTGCTTCAGATACTACGTAGCCTCCTCCCAGAAGGTAACAAGAAAAACAGGTCATGAAGAGGATATGTAGTGTCCCAGACAATCTTGCGGACCCTGCTCAAGCAACGTTTATATGCTATGTTGTGGATGGAAGGGAGGGAACTGCCAATAATCTTTTCAGCCATCCTCACCACTCTCTGTATCGCCTTTTTGTCTGAAGCAGTGATGCTTCCAAACCAGACTGTGATGCTGTATGACAGGATGCTCTTGAACCTCCCTCTGTAGAAAGTGGTAAGGACAGGGGAAGGAAGATGTGCTTTTCTCATATGATACAGAAAATGCAGGCCCTGCTGTGCCCGCTTCACCAGTGTCTCACTGTTGAGCAACCAAGCCAGCCTACTTGTTAACTGCACACCCAGAAATTTGATGCTAGTAACCACCTCCACAAGTGAGTCATTAATGCACAGAGAAGTGTGGCTGTGCCTGCCTTTTTTGAAATGATCCCTTTGGTTTTTCCAATGTTTAAAACTAGGCTGTTTTCCTTACACCAGTTCACCAAACCCTCAACCTCCTTGCGGTAAGCACCCTCATTGTCACCTTAAATAACATACTGTTGTATCATCCACAAACCTCACAATATGACTGGTGGCAAACCTAATACAACAGTCATGGGTCAGCAGGGTGAACAGCAGCAGACTTAGGAAACAACCCTGAGGAGAACCTGTGCTCAAGAAAATGGTGTTAGAAATATTTGTTCCAGCTTGCACATACTGGGGCCTGTTAATAAAAAATCAAGAATCCAGTTGCACAATGGAGTGTTTAAGCTTAAAAGGCCCAGTTTGCCTACTAGATGCTGGGAAATGATTGTGTTAAATGCTGAACTGAAGTCGACAAACAACAAAGGCACACGAGTATTTATTTCCTTTAAATGATCCAAGCTGAGTTGAAAAGCAGATAATAACAAGACCTGGCAATGGTTAAGAGCAGGAAAGTTTAAGAAAGAGACTGAGGGACTAATTTTGGCTGCACAAGACCAAGTCTCAAGGACAAATGCGTACAAAGCCAGAAATAAGAAGACGGGAATAGTAAGTAAGTGCCACCTATGCAAAGAAGCTGAAGAAATAGTGGATCACCTGGTAAGCTATTCAAGAAGATCACCCAGACTGACTACAAGCAGTGGCATGACAAAATAGCAACAATGGTGCATTGGAAGATCTGCAAGAAATATCATTTGCAAGAACTGGTGGGACTAGAGAAAGTCATAGGAAATGAAGAAGTTAAATTGCTCTGGAACTTTAGAATTCAAACAGACAGTCACCCGCCGCATAATACCCCAGACTTAACAATTGTCGATAAGAAAGACAAAAAAGTCTAGATAGTGGATGTGGCAGTGCCTGGAGACAGCAGAATAGAAGAGAAAGAATTGGAGAATATAACAAAATACAAAGACATAGAAATAGAATGACTGTGGCAAAGACAAGCAAGGGTAGTACCAATTGTAACAGGCACCTTGGATGCAATCCCAAAACAACTGGAGCACCACTTGAACACCATTGGCATTGACAAATTCGTCATCAGTCAATTGTAAAAGGCATCTTTACTGGGAACAGCTTCCATCCTGTGACAATATCTCTAACACCATCAAACATCCAAATCTGCCTATCCCAAGTCCTTGGTAAGGACTCAATAAGTAGATAAAAATGCCAAGCCCAGTCTGAATATCTGGCTGACTATGCGATGATTAGTAGTAGTAGTAGTAGTAGTAGTAGTAGTAGTAGTAGTAGTAGTAGTAGTAACAACAACAACAACAACAACAACAACAACAATAATAATAATAATAATAATAATGTAAGGACTCAATAGGTAGACAGAAATGTCAAATCCAGTCTAAACATCTGGCTGACTGTGCAATGATCAATAATAATAATGATTTGACAAAGTTTTTGAAAATGAGCATGTCAAGATCCTGTGGGATTTTCTGATCCAAACAGACAGACATCTAGCTCACAACATACCTGACATCACTTTTGTGGAAAAGAAAAAATCTGGTTCATTGATATTGCAATAACAAATATTGTACAAATTGAAAAGAAACAGACCTAGAAAAAAATAACAAAATATTGTGATTTGTAAATTGAAGTTGAGCGATTGTGGAGGAAGAAATCAATGGTTGTACCAATAAAATAGTAATAGGAGCCCTTGGAGCAATACCCAAAGGCTACCTAGATACATGGAAATTTTGAACTTATAAGACCTGAATATCCTGATTTTGCAAAAAAACCACCTTACTCAGAACTGCTCATATATTCAGACGGTACCTTAATAGCTCTTAGGTCCTTGGTTAGGACTTGAATTGTTAAATTTTTACCAGTCCCAGATTGTAAATTGAATTGAAGATTAAATCTTAAATAATAATATAGCAAACAGTTCCCCCCAGATATGTTTCTCTATCTATTGACTGAGAGATTGAATAATATCTGGACAGGAATAAAGCTAATTGAAAAGCAATAAAGGAAGGGATAATAAGTTTTCAAAAATCAGGATCATGTTACAGTAAAATATAAATGTATTTATAACCACTGTTAAAAACATTGGAAGTATTATTCTTTTTTTCCCCTTTTCTATTTCTTTTTCATTTCTTGTTCACTTTTCATTACTTTTCTCATTTGTCTTATCTTTAACTTAAAATTTTGTACTGTTCTTATTCTGTGTAAAAAAAACTGCTTTAGTAAAAATTCTACATCTATCTATCTATCTATCTATCTATCTATCTATCTATCTATCTATCTATCTATCTATCTATCTATCTATCTACCAGTAACAAGTTAAAATTGGCATTGTTCGAGAACCAGCCTTCTCCCCACTGTGTACATTTTACAAGCCATCATCTTCTATCTTTTTTTAACTTCTATTATCTACCCCACCCTAATGTGTTTGGACAATCGCCCTTGTACCACCATGGATGTATCGATTTTGCTTTTATTTTCACATCTTAAGCTTTTTCTAGTAGCATGAATCATTTGGTGGGTTGCAAACAGACGCTATAAACTGCCTAGAGTCTGTCTGGATTGAGGTGGAAAATAAATTGCATAAATAAATATAAACCATTGAGGGTTAAATATTTTATATACAGTATTATGACAATAATAAATTCTTTTAATGTATCTGTAATATATTTAAATACAATGTAATATTAATATCAAAAACCTTTATCATGTAACTTAGATCAACAAGGAAGGTAAACCAACTGACGTCCACAATAAGAAGAAAATCATTACACTTGGAGTCACTTCTACCATTCACATGCAACCAGTCCCTAATACCCTGCTTCTGGCAAGCGCTATTGTTCCACCTGAAGAACATATTTTGAATTCCACATCCTTATTCCATCAGCACACTGAGGGGAATTTGGAACTTAAAAGGTGAGTCTTTCAATATTATCACAATCATGTCCAGATGATAACATTCCATATTGAAGTCATTCTAAGATAGTAACTTCTGAACTATCATCTTATCATCTAGCCTGCTAAGGACCTCCTTGCCCCTAATGTTCTTCCCCAAACTCTATCTTTCATAACCACATTGCTCAGTGCATGCGGTTCTTTCCTTTTACACAAAAACAACAACAAAGGTGATTTTGTTCTAGTCATGAGCCAGTACAAAATACCTATTTTTAATATACAATATGACTGAAAGGAATACACCAGTGCTTAATCCGAATTAATAATTCCTGAATCTATATTCAGAATTGGGTTAAATACCTACCATTGGATTGATATAATATTGTTACAGGGTTATAATGTGTTAACATAATACAAATTTGAATTGGATGGAATGATAATAGAGCAATTTCTCTTTATAGAAATTCAATTTTATGAATTGTAAATCTTGTAAAATCTTGTTTCATGCCTTAGATTGCTCTAACTGAAGAAAATTAACTTTTTCTCTATTCTTCTGTAATTACAGTATTTTTGCCTTTATGACCAAATAATAGGAGAGTGCAGAATTAATTAATTAATTAATTAATTAATTAATTAATTCTGAACTCTAATCCAAACTCCCTTTAGCAACTGCAGACTTTTGAAATAAGGAGATCCAAAGTAAAAAATTTATTAGGAACTCAAATACAATTTTCATAAAACAGTTTCCTAAAATTTTGCACATACCTTTTTCAAAATACTGTATACCCTGTTAAAACTATACATTGAATGGAGTAAGAAGATAACCTTGTTATAGATAAATAGGATCTGCAGCTTAGGCAAAAGGGGCAGAATCATTTTTAACGTCTACAGCAAGATAACATTCTGAAGCTATATCTCCCTCATATACTGAATTATAAAGAGAAGGAAGAGATACAGAAACAATGAGAGTTGCAATTGATGTTAGCTTCACTAACTAATGTTATACTAGAACAGCTAATCAACTATTAGGCTAAAAACACATTTATTGGGACTGAATATAATAATGGAATCTTGAAAGTTTAGGGTCTGGAGTACTTGGTACTTTGTGGGCTTGGTGACTTTTTTGCAAACCTTTCATTACCAAACTAGGTAATATCATCAGTGCTTAACTCTGAACTATTAAAATATTCTCTTATATCGGTGTTCTGTATTTCTTTCTCCTTCTTGTTTCAGTGAATTAGATAGCACCTGCCTGAGCTACTTCTGAATATTGTCTTGTTGAGGATTTAAAAATGTTTCGACAAATTTTGTCTAAGCAACAGATTCTGTATCTCTCCATTAGTTTACTCGCTAAAATACTGAAGCACAAGATATTGATCTATATCAACACCCATCTATTAAAATATGAAGATGAATCAGCTGACCATAATTAATAAGGGAATCTGAAATGCTTTCCTACATGTGAACCTTTTAAATACTATCTTGAGTGCATGAATGTTATTCAATGTTTCAAAACCATTTTGTATCACATAGGTTATTCCCTTTGTCCTTGGTCAAGATCTCAGTTCACAGCTTGGAAAAGAAGCAGCTGAGACTTAAACTAGTCACAGGCCGCACGTACTACCTTCAGCTGTACCCTCCACCACATCAGCAACTAGACCTTTTCAGCGGCTGGATCAAGCTTGTGCAAATACTACGACCATCTTCAGAAATAAATTCCAAACAGCAGAAGTTGGAGAACAAAAAATTGAAGAATCCTGGTGCACCTCCAGTTCCACCTCTGAAACCTAAAGTGAGATCCCCTTCAGTGATATTAATTCTGAAGTCCTGGGAATTATCAGGGAGCACAACAAAGAGAAAAGAATCTTTCATTTCCCTTACTGGAAATGAATGGACCCCTTACTTACAGATATATATTTAATTTCCAGAAAATGGATCTTTGTTTCGAAGCACATAACTTTCTGGTACGATTGGAATCAGTTAATTGCTCCAGGAATGTACCTGATTTGAGCAAAGATCTCAAGGCCAGCCAAATTTGCATTTCCACACAAGTCAACTGGTCTTCATCTTTTTCTCTCCCATCAAAAACTGTAACAAAATTTGAGGCAAGGCACTCACTTAATATGCAGAGTTACTTCTCATACTGCACGATACTGTTTGCAAAAGAATTAAGTAGCAGAACAGATATAATGTACTCTAAAGTTGCAAAAGAACAATAATGGAAGAAGGCTATCTCCCTTTTGTCCTGCTTATGAATTTTCTGACTGCATCATATCATTGTTTTCCACAAAACGCTGAACTAGATAGATCTTTGACTTAATCCAGCAGGATCAGTGGTGGAATTCAGATATATGAACAACCAATTCTCTGTGTGGATGCCACTTCCAGAACTCCATTCTGGGCCTGGGCAACAAAAAATTAGCTACCAGTGCGAACTGACTGAATCCCACCATTGGGCAGGATGCTTCCTATGTTCTTAAGCGACAGTGGTATTGTAGGCGAGAGATATACTTCTTTTATATATTGCTAGGAACAGGGGCGAGGCTGGACTAAGTTCTCTGTCTAAGGCAAAGAACAATGCAGGTAGTCCCTGGTTAGTAATTGGCTTGTTTAACAGTCATTCACAGTTACAATAGTGATAAAAATGTAACTTTATGAGCAACACTCAGATTTATGATCATTACAGATCTGTAAAGAAAACGGAATCACAATTGTGGTTTCTCTCACTGACCATTTCACTTAATCAGTGTCGGTCCTGATTGTGGTCACTAAATGAAGGTTATCTGTAACCTTCTTGTGGCAATAAGCTTTTTTTGTTTTTTCAGGAATCACCATATTGATTAGCCAGTGATAGCATAGTGTCACCCAAGTCAAATTTTATGGTCTTCATTTAAAGGGATGCAGTATTATGGCATTTATTTTTCTCCCTAAACCCACTCAACTTAGAAATAAGCAACTCAAAATGGGGAGTAAACATTTTAGGAGATAAAATAGATGCCTTCAATTCCTGCAAGGCTCAATACATTAATTGCACACTTTAACCTTCCTCAACTCCCAAAAACCAGCAGAAAGGGTGTTGACCTTACTTGAAAAGTACTGTGAGACTTCTGGGATCTGCAAAGACATAAAGTGACACAATACTATCTCATACAACAGCTGAAGTAGAGGCAAAGGAGATTTTAAATCCGTTTCCTCTGTGCTTGTATATACATATAGGAGTTGGCAGCTGAAATACATAAAGAGTCTTAACAGAAACTGCAATTTGTCCTGCTGGAGAATGAATTAAACCTTTGCCTTAATCTCAGGTTAAAGTCATAGGCTGGGATGTTACAGATTAAATCTCAAATTGAGATACAACACAGAAAAATAGAGTTGGAAGGGATCGCAGAGATCTCTAGTCCAACCCTCTGCTTGAGCAGGAGATCCTATATCATTTCAGACAAATGGTTGTCCAGTCTCTTTTTGAAAGCCTTCTGTGATGGAATACCCACAACTTCTTTGGGCAAGCTATGTCATTGGTTATTTACTCTCCCCATTAGGAAGTTTCTCCTTACTTATAAGTAGTAGTTTCCAACCATTGTTTTTTGTCTTGCCTTTTGGTGCTGTGGAAAATAGTTTGGCCCCCTTGTCTTTGTAGGAGCCCTCAAACATTGGAATAGTCTTATCATGTTTTCCCCCCCAGTTATTTTTTTCATTAGACTAGACATATCCAATTCCTGTAAACATTCTTCATACCTTTTAGCCTCCATCCCCCTAATCATTTTTGTTGCTCTTCTCTGCACTTTATCCAGAGTCTCAACATCATTTTTGTATTGCGGTGACTAGAACTGGATGCAGTATTCCAAGTGTGGTCTTATTAAAACTTTGAAAAGCAGTATTAGAACCTCATGTGATCTTGATTCTATGACTTTATTAATGTAGCCTAGGATTATGTGGGCTTTTTTGGCTGCTGCTGCACATTGTTGGCTCATATTTAAGTAATTATCCCCTAGGACTCCAACAGCCCTGTCACAGTTACTGGCATTAGACTGGCATTCACCTAGTCAATATACTGGTATTCACTTAATCCAGGGGTGTCAAACTCACAACATCACGTGACGTATCGTGACTTTTTTTCCATTGTCGGCAATGGAGTGGACGCGGTTTCAGCATGACACATCCGGCCCATGGTCTGGCAGTTTGACACCCCTGCCTTAGTCTATACCTATGCAGTTGGTTTTTCTTACTTAAGTGTAGAACCTTACTTTTATCTACACTGAATTTTATTTTGTTAGATAGGGCCCAGTGTTCAAGTCTGTCAAGATCTTTTTGGATTTTGAACATGTCTTCTGGGGTGTTGCTATTCCTGCTAGCTTAGTGTTGTCTGTAAATTTGATGAGTTCCCCTTCAATTCCCTCATCTAAATAATTTATGAAGATATTGAAGAATATCAATATCTTAGTTTAGTTTAGTTTAGATTATTTATTTTGAAAATTCATATTGCCGCCTACTGACACATGGCAACTCAAGGCAGCTTACACAAATATAAAATCATCCTATAAAAGGAATAAAAAATAACAAGAAGAAAAATAATAAAATAATAAAATAATTACCCCACCCCAGCGACAACACACATTCAAACTAGCCATTTAATGGGCTCCATCTCACTCTGGGTTCCCCAGGCTCACTGGCAGAACCAGATCTTCAGTGCCTTCCGAAAGACTGCTAGAGTGGGGGGCAGTCTAATCTCTGAGAGGATGATGTTCCAGAGAGAGGGAACCACCACAGAGAAGGCCCTTCTTCTGGGTCCCACCAGATGCATCTCCTTAGGGGATGGGACCCACAATATTTCTTGCCTCCCCACTCTAGTAGGTCAGGTAGATGTGACCGGCAAGAGACAGTCCCTCAGATAACCTGGTCCCAAGCCATGAAGGATTTTAAAGGTGACAACCAGCACCTTGAATTGCACATGAAAGTAAATCAGTAACCAATGCAACTCCTGCAGGAGAGGTGACACATGTGCACACCAAGGTCTGCCCAAAATCATGTGGGTTGCTGCATTTTGCATCAACTGGAGCTTCCAGATGCTCTTCAGGGGCAGCCCCATGTAAAGCACATTGCAATAGTCAATACGGGAGGTTACTAAGGCATGAGTGATGATGAGTAGGGATTGTTGGTCCAGGAAAGGGCGTAAGTGATGCACAATCCACTGTTGCACAAAGGCTGTCCTGGCCAGGACTGCCACCTGCTCTTCGAGCAGGAGCCGCAAGTCCAGAACTACCCCCAGATTACTCACAGAGTATATTTGAGGCAGTGCCACCCCATCCAAGACCAAAGGTGGCAATTCTCCATGGGCCAAAGAACCCCAAACCCAGAGCCACTTGATCTTGCCAGGGTTCCGTTTCAACCCATTTCTCCCCATCCAGCCCCTAACAGGCTTCAGGAACTGTGAGAGGGAGGTAATGGCATCACTTAACTCACCACAGCTGAGTATCATCAGTATATTGATGATATCTCAGTCCATGGTGACAGATTATCTCACCCAATGGCTTCATGTAAATGTTAAATAGGAGAGGAAAGAGTACTGAGCCCTGCAGGAGCCGCAAAGCATTGGGCAAGGGCTGAATCTCTCACCTCCTTTAACACCAACTGAGAACAGCCTCAGAGGAAGGAAGTGAACCAGGATAGCACAAGACCCCTCACTCCCAACCCCCAAAGCCACTCCAGAAGGATACCATGATTGATGGTATCAAAACCCATTGAGAGGTCAAGTAGAGCAAGGATGGATGCACTACCCCATTCCACTCCCACCAGACATCATCAAAAGCACAACCAATGCCATTTGTGGCCCATATCAAGGCTTGAATCCTGAATGGTAGACATCTAGATAATCTGTTCCATTCAGAAACCTACGGAGCTGCCGTACAACCACCTTCTCAACCACCTTCCCCAAAAGGAAAGATAGGTCAGAAATTATCCAATAGGATGGAATCCAGTGATAGCTTCTTGAGAAGAGGGAGGACCACAGTCTACTTAAAGTGTTGAGGCACTACCCCCTCCTGTAGAGAAGCATTAATCACTGTCAGAGTCGACCTGCCTGTCACCTCCCAGGAAGCTTTCACTAGCCAGGAGGGACATGGATCTAAAACACAGGTGCTTGTGCGCACACTCCCAAGGATCCTGTCCACTTTCTCAGGAGCAACACTTTAACCTTCCTCAACTCCCCCAAACCAGCAGAAATGGTGTTGACCCTAGTTGAAAAATACTGTGAGATTTCTGGAGGCATAATGACATAACATGACACAATAGTATCTCATTCAACACCTGAAGCAGAGACAAAGGACATTTTAAATCCATTCCCTTTATGCTTGTATATAGTATTCAACAGTTGGCAGCTGAAATACATAAAGTGTCAGTATACTGGGATGTTAAGTCTCAAACTTACAAATTGTCTACTCCAGTTTATTATAGCAAATGGAAATTAAAATTCAATCTCCAAATATTCCTTTCCTCAGGGCCCACCTCCTCAGAGAGAAACTCAATATGCACCTGAAAAAAAGACAAAGAAAAAGAATAAAAAGAATCCCACTGCTCGAGCAAAGGAAACAAAAAAAGAAAATGATCCAACTGCTTTATTTTCTAAGAGCTCCCCTACTCCTGCAATCAAACCAACACATCTCAAAATAGAGAATGTTCATGAAGCCTTCTGTCATACAACCCCAGAGGAGCAGAACATCGCAAAAAAGTTAAAAGGGGAGAAAATAAAGAATCCTGGTCCTGCTGATGAAAAGGATAACTTGCATATTAACAGGTATGTGAAAATTAAACAGAGGTAGTGGGTTATATTATTATATTATTCTATCTCCCTCCTCAGAGCCTTTCAGCTTTACCCATTCTATGGGGCTATGGGGCCACAATAGAATTAGGACTTAAAATTGCAGGTGCGCTAGTCTCCTCCTTAAATGGGGAAGGCTCTCCTCTTCGAAATATAGCTGTGGTGCTCCAGAGCAGACAGGTAGACAGGCAGACAGACAGAGAGACACATACTGTGAAACAGTGGCCTCTGAATGCATATCAAGGAAACCCCGGAGATAGTCTATAGGCAACTCCACTATGTATCGACTACAGGCAGTCCTCGACTTACAACCACAACTGAACCCAAACTTTCTGTTGTTAAATGAGATATTTGTTCAGTGAATCTTGCCCCATTTTACGATGTTTCTTGTCACAGTTGTTAAGTGAATCACTGCAGTTGATAAGTTAGAAACCCGGTTGTTAAGTGAATCTGGCTGCCCCATTAACTTTGCTCATGAGAAGGTCATAAAAGAAGATCACATGATCTGGGAACACTGCAGCCATCATAAATATGAGTCCGTTGCCAAGCATCTGAACTTTGATCACATGATCATGGGGATGCTACAAAGGTCATAACTGTGAAAAACAGTTATAAGTCACATTTTTCAATGCCATTGTAAATTTGAACAGTCACTAAATGAACTGTATGAACTGTATGAACTGTTCATCTGTATGTAAATAGTCTATTTTTGAATTTGTAACTAAAGTAAATAGTTTCATATTTGGCATTGAGAATGTAATTGTGATGTGCTTTTTAACATTTTCGCCATATACTAAATAAAACTTAAATGCAAACCTTGAACACATTTTCACCAAATTCAAATGAAATTCAAATATAGTGATGTCTCTTAGGGATTGTGCAACACTGACTCCAAACTTTGTGAGTCAGAAAAGTAGATATATGGCATTTCATATGTGATAAAATTATACATTAGTCTTAATTTAAAAATGTGTGTGATCAGATCTCCTTATAATATTTACACAAACTTATTCATATAATATTTTGAGACTGATCACTAAACTCCATTTATTGGCTGCTGATAATAGGATGCTAAGTTCCATTTGTGCATGGTTCCTGACTCTAACAAATGTTCTTCTAAAGGGGAAGGTAAGATTTTTGCTATGGCTGCAATATTGACAATTCCACAGGCAATCTTAATATTCCCAGCCTACTGAAGGAGAATGAAATCTCTTTTTTAATGTATACTTTTTATTAAAACTTTTAATAGGGAAGAAAAAAGAAAAAGAAATAAAGTAAAAAAAAGTGCAAGGAAAAAAGTTAAAGAAAAATAGGAAAAAAATTAAAAAGTTAAATAAGTGAATTCCTGTATCCTTCACAGCAGTACTAAGTATAAATATATTTTAATCTGTCTCTAAAGTTACATCATATTACTAATCAAACCTGTCTAACCATCAAAATTGTAAGTCACAAGTTCATTTTTTTCCCATTTTTATGCAGAAGGTTCATAAGAGACTTCCAGTCTTTTCTCTAATCAAACAAGCTAATTTATCTATTTCAGAAAATCTGTCTGCCTCACAACCATTCTTCCATAGAGGGAGATCTTTCCATCTCCATGCATACAAGTAATCTTGCTATTGTGATCAGATTTTGAAATAATCTTCCATGGCTGTTTATCCATTAATCCTAAAAAAAAATAATTCTTCAATTGAATATTGATATTTGAATCTTCTGTATCAAAGTAAGCATTTGGATCCAAACCTTTTTTTAGCTTTTTTTATATATCCATCAAGCATGATAAATGTCCTGTCATGTTTTCACATTTCCAAGTGCCTTCTAGATAATTTCTACAGCATAATATAACAATCATACATCATTTTATAAAACCAAATTTTTATCTCAGTTTATCATACATTTTTTATCCTTTTCTTCCTTTATTTCAAATTTCAACCAAGGTTTGTACATTTTAGCAATCACATGATCATTATGAGTTCATAGCTGTATTTCAAATTCTGATTTATTTTGCTCCATACTGTAAGTCTTTGTATCTATTTTTAATCTTTCAAATAACTGTAAATGGAAGAAACATTGACAACTATATTATTCTGCTATTAATTGTTCTCTTGATTTGATTTTAAATTTCCTTTGGTAATTTTCCAAAAGATCCTGTTACCACAAACATTTATCTTTATCTGTTGTTCTCTTCTGTAATACACTTCTTGAGCTGAGATTCATAAAGGTGTTTTTGGTCACGAACTGGGCTTATATTTATTACACATTCTAAATAATAAAATGACTTTTAAAGTCCATATTAACTTTATCATACCATAAATATCCATGTGGTCCAAGCCTCAGGTTGTGATCTTCTAACTATAAACATTGCCTATTTTTCAGAAACATCTATTCTATAAAACAGTTACCCAACCCCCGGTCCATGCACCGGCATCAATCTGCGGCATGCCAGCAACCAGAGCACTCAAACAAGCAAAGTCCCATCATGGGATGCAGGCAGCACATGAAACCATGCCCCCTCCAGTTCATGGAAAAACCTTTCTCCATGGAACCAATCCCTGGTGCCCAAACATTTGGGAGCCACTGCTATAAAACACTGAGCAACAAAATACAATTTTAAATACAGTAAACCCAATCTTCCTCTTTGTTTTTGCATCTTCTAACACTAAATCTTGTTTCTTTCTCTTGCCATATGAAATTAAATGTATCTAATTCCAACTCCATTCATTTTTAAATAGATCTATTGTAAAATATGTTGTAAAATATAGTTTTGTTATTATTTGGGGCGTAGCGCAATCCCTAGCGCAATCCCGGTTTCATTCTCAATTAATCTCAACCTCACATGTGTCTTTGTTATCAGATAGTATCATTTTGATTGCAAAAATTCTTTTCCCAAATTTTTATAAATTCATTCATGTACAGTATGTTTCCTCTAGACAAATTACATCCAGTTTTAATTTTCTCAGGTATCTTTTTTCTTTTGGGGGGTTATTTTTCCCATTTATATTCCACATTAAACATTTAAATTCCATGCTTATTTTATAAACTTTGAAAATCTATTTCATATCACCCAATATAGAAGTGTCTTTCTCAGATATTTGCAGTGGTTAACTCCAGAGTTCCTTCCATTTTATTTCAATTTCCTAAGCCATACAATCCAACTACATTTTTGTCATCAATATTTCCAATGTTGGTATTCCAGTATCCAATCACAAGCAACATATCTGAGTTGCATATTTTGTCAATTTCAAATTGAACTTAATCATAAAATTTACAAGTCGCCTCCTTCTCTTCTGCATCTGTGGTTAGAGAATAAGCTGGGATAATGGTCATATTTAAGGTTTCTCCACAAAATCTTACTGACTTCATTATAGCCAAGGATCAGTCATGCTATATCCTTCCTAGCAATGCCAATCCCCTTTTTACTTTTTCATGTCTTGAGTAGTAATATAATGTCATGACTCTGGGAAAAATTCCATTGCATTGAAGAGCTGGCATTTCTTGGCAAAAGCCTAATAATTTAAAGGAATATTTCCTAGCTTTAAATCTGTTTCAGTTTCAATATATCCATCAGATCCTTGACTTACAACCACTATTGAGAGCAAAATTTCTGTTGCTAAGTGAGACAGTTATTAAGTGTGTCACAATCTTCTTCAACCTTTCTTGCCACAGCAGTTAACCACTGTAGTTGTTAACTTAGTAATCTGGTTGTTAAATTAGTAACATGGTTGTTAAGTAAATCTGGCTTCCTCATTGACTTTGCTTGTCTAAAGGTCGCAAAAGGTGATCACATGACCCCGGGACACTGCAACCATCATAAATATATGCCATTTACCAAGCACCCAAATTTTGATCATGTGACCATGGGGATGCTTTAATGGTCGTAAGTGTGAAAAATGTTCACAAGTCACTTTTTTCAGTGCCGTCGTAACTTCAAACGGTCACAAAGAGAAATCCTTAAGATGTCATTTACTTTACTTTACTTTGTACTTAACATTCACATATGAAAGAACTAATAAGAGAAGCTTAACTATTCCAGTGATTTTTATTTAGTGCACTATATTTTACTTTTTACTGCAATGGTGCAGATGGTTGTCAATTTTATTTTTCATTTTCTCTTTATATAGTTTATAATTTAATATTACCATGAGTCATTAAACTAGAATGGGGGAGGGTGTTGCAATATTCTATACAATGTATCAATGCTTATTGCTAAGTACTTTCTCAAACAAAAGCTAGCCTACGTGACCAACAGCTAGGTCACGTATGCCTAAGGTGACTTCCTCATTTCCTAAAGGGCACAAAAAAGACCGTATATGGTAGTAAGGAAATGTTCCCCTCCTCCTGAGATGTAACCACTCCCATA